ACCATGTTGGTCAGGATGCTCTCAAACTCCTGACTTGAAGTGATCTGCCCACCTCAGACTCCCAAAGTGCTGGGATTATAGGTGTGAGCCACTGCACCTGGCCTCTTTTCACTTTCTTAATAGTGTACATTGAGGTAAAGTAGTTTTTAATTTGATTTTAATTCTAAAATTTAATTTAAAATTTAATAATTAATTTTAAAACAATAAAAAATTTCATAATTAATTTTAAGGCTAGGTGCAGTGGCTCATGCCTGTAATCCCACCACTTTGGGAGGCTGAGGTGGGCAGATCATGAGGTCAGGGGATCAAGACCATCCTGGCTAACAGAGTGAAACCCCCTCTGTACTAAAAATACAAAAATTAACTGGTCGTGGTGGTGCGCGCCTGTAGTCCCAGCCTGCCCAGCACCTGAAGTCCCAGGTGGGGGAATTGCTTGAACCCAGGAGGTGGAGGCTGCAGTAAGCCGAGATCGCGCCACTGCACTCCAGCCTGGGTGACAGAGTGAGACTCTGTCTCAAAAACAAAACAAAAAAACCAATTTAATTTAAAATTTAATAATTAATTTTAAAATTTAATTTTAAATCAATGAAGTCCAATTTATTTATTCTTTAGTTGATTGTATTTTTAATATATATTTAGGAAACTATTGTCTAACTTAAGGTCACAAAGATTAACATTTATTCTTTATTCTATAAATTTTTTAGTTTTCACTGTTACATTTAAGTCTTTTATCCATTTTAAGGTAATTTTTTATGCCGTGTGAGGTAAAGGTACAAATCCGTTCTTTCGTATGTGGATATACAATTGTCCTAGTGCCATTTTTTTTTTCTTTTTTGAGATGGACTCTCACTCTGTTGCCCAGACTGGAGTGCAGTGGCATGATCTTGGCTCACCGCAACCTCCACCTCCCAGGTTCAAGTGATTCTCCTGCCTCAGCCTCCCAAGTAGCTGGGAGTACAGGTGCCCGCCACCATGCCTGGCTAATTTTGTATTTTCAGTAGAGACGGGGTTTCACCATGTTAGCTAGGCTGGTCTCGAACTCCTGACCTTAGGTGAGCTGCCTGCCTCGGCCTCCCAAAGTGCTGGGGTTACTTATAGGTGTGAGCCACTGCACCTGGTCTTCCCTAGTGTCATGTTTCAAAAAGGCTGTTGTCTCTTCGTTGAATGGTTTTGATACCATTGTCAAAAAGCAATAGACTATAAATGTATGAGTTCTGGACTCTCAGTTCTATTCCATTGATCTATATGTCTATCCTTATGTGTGTCTGCATTACTGTATCTTTGTAGAAAATTTAGGAATTGAAATGTGTAAGTCCTCCAGCTTTGTTATTCTTTTTCAAGATTTTTGTGACTATTCTGGATCATTTACATTTCCATGTCAACTCTAGGATCAACTTGTCCATTTCTACAAAAAAAGGCGTTGAAGTTTTTTTTTTTTTTTTTGAGATGGAGTTTTGTTCTGTCTTCCAGGCCGGAGTGCAGTGATGTGATCTCACTCACTGCAACCTCTGCCTCCTGGGTTCAAGTGATTCTCCTGCCTCAACCTCCCCAGTAGCTGGGATTACAGGCGTGCGCCGCCGCACCCAGCTGATTTTTATATTTTTAGTAGAGATGGAGTTTCACCATGTTGCCCAGGCTGGTCTTGAACTCCTGAGCTCAGGTGAGCCACCCGTCTCGGCCTCCCAAAGTGCTGGGATTACAGGTGTGAGCCCTTGCGCCCAGCTAGCATTGAAAATTTTGATGTAGATTGCATTGAATCTGTAGATCAGCTTGGCAAGTATTGTGATCTTAATATTGTTTTCTGATTCATGAGCAGGGAATGTCACTTTCTTAGTCTTCTTTAATATCCTTCAACAATGTTTTATAGTTGTCAGTCTTGCACTTATTTGGCTAAATTTATTTCTAAGTATTTTATTTTCCCCAATTGCTGTTATAAATGAATTTTCCTTTTTGTTTTGTTTTGTTTTTTTGAGACAAGGTTTCACTTTGTCACCCAGGCTGGAGTACAGTGGTGTGATCTTGACACACTGCAGCCTCAAACTCCTGGGCTCAAGGTATCCTCCCACTTCATCTTCCCTAGTAGCTGAGACTACAGATGTGTACCATCATACCTGGCTAAGTTTTAATTTTTTTTTGTAGAGACAGGGTCTCACGATGTTGTCCATGCTCGTTTTGAACTGGGTTAAAGTGATCTACGTGCCTTAACTTCCTAACGTGCTGGGATTACAGGCGCGAGCCACCACACCCAGCCACAAATGGATTTTCTTAATTTAATTTTTGTTTATTGTCAGTGTGTAGCAATACAACTTATTTCTTCTTGGTCAGTCTAGCTGAAAGTTTGCCCATTTTTGTAGACAACCCTTTTCTTTACAAGGAACCAACTCTCGGTTTCGTTGATTTTTTTCTATTTGTCTAATCTCTTTGATTTCTGCTCTAATCTTTATTATTGCCTTCTGTTTGCTTTGGGTTACATTTGCTCTTTTTCTAGTTTCTTAAGGTGGAAGGTTGGATTATTAACTGAAATTTTTATTCTTTTTAAATGTAGGCATTTATAGTCATAAATTTCCCTCTGAGCACTGCTTTTTCTACATTCCATGAATTTTGATATGTCATGTTTTTATTTTCGTTTGTCTCAAATAATTTTCTAATTTTCCTGGGAATTCTTTTTTGACCCATTGGTCATTAAAAGTATTTGTTTAATTTCCATATATTTTTGAATTTCCCCAAATTTTCCATTACTGATTTCTAATTACATTCTATTGTAGCTGAATAACCTATTTTATGTTACTTCAGTCTTTTACAATTTATTGAGTCTTGTTTTATTACCTGACATATAACCTATCCTGGAGAATGTTTGATGTGCACTTGAACTCTGTTGTTGCTCTGTTCCTTTTCTCCTTTTTGTGTTGTTATGGTATTCTGCTGTTGATGGGTGAGTGTTCTATAGATGTTAGTTCCAGTTGGTTTACAGTATTGTTTAAGTTTTATATTTCCTTATTGATCTTATGTCTAGTTGTTCTATTCATTATTAAAAGTGGGATACTGTAGTCTGCAGCTATTCTTGTCAAATAATTATTTCTTCTTTCAATTCTGTCAGTTTTTACTTCATGTGTTTTGGGGCTCTGTTATTAGGTGCACATATATTTTTAGTTGTTATACCTTCTATCTTTTTCTTGACCCTTTATCATTATAAAATGTCCTTCTTTAGCAAAAATTTTTGTCTTAAAGTCTGTTTTGCCTGCCATTATAACCACTGCAGCTCTTTGTTGGTTACTGTTTGTGTGGAATATCTTTTTCCACTTTAAAATTTTCCATTTATTTGTATCTTTATATCTAAAGTGTGTCTCTTGTAGACAGCTTATAGTTGGGCCATTCTGTCAATCCATGCCTTTTTATAAGGAGAGTTGAATCCATTTGCATTTAATGTAATTGCCAATAAGGAAGGACTTACTTCTGCCATTTTGCTATTTTTTTTTATGTCATATCTTTTTTGTTCAATTCCTCCATTACTACTTTCTTTTGTGTTATTTTCTAATGTACCATTTTGATTCCCTTCTCTTTTTAAAAACTATGTATTTTTGAGTTATTTTCTTAGTTGTTGCCCTGGGGGTTAAAATTAATGTCTTAAATAAAAAATTTCTGATTCAGGTTATAGTATACCGCAACTTTGCTCTTATATAGCTCTGTCCCTTTCCTCCTCCTCTTTCTTGTTAGTTATTGACATATAAATTACATCCTTGCACATTGTGTGCCCTTCAATAGATTTATAATTATTTAATTATGCAGTTTCCTTTTAAATCAGCTAGGAGAAAAAATGAGTTATTAAAAAAAAACCCTATCTATACTGTCTTCTATATTTACCTATATAGTTATTTTGACCAGTGCTTTTTCTTTCTTTATGTGAGTTTGAATTACTGGGTTTACCCAATGGGAGGCAGTGAGTGGCAGATGACTGGAAGGTAGAAAAGGAGGAAGGACAGGGTATGTATTCCTCCCATCTCCTCTTGTTTTGGCAGTAGCTGCAATTTACTATCTGCAACTGCAGATCCCACTGGGAAGTCCCCGTTCCTGGCTACAGCCTTCTCTGCATTCTAGTAACACCACTGCTTCTTGCCTTTTCAGGCTTAGGAGTAGTAACAGCTTCCCATTTCTGCTATTCCTTAGGTTCTTCACCATCCTTTGTTGTTTCCTTAATCCTACACATACTTCTGCAATAGTTCCTTCATTAAACTCTCTTCTGTTACTCCAGGAGTGGGCTATATCATGACAAGATCTTAGCTCATTCAGCATGCTCCATGACCTTCTTGCTAAGGTCAAATGCTTATACTCTCACATGTACTTCTCCTTTGCAGAGCTTACCACAGTCCCTAACTATACACTTGTTTTAATGATCATTTGTTTAATGTCTATTTTTCTAAGTAGATCATAAGTGCCTTGCACAATCTTTTAATTTCTAGCAGAGTGCCTGGTATATAGTAGGCACTTGATACATTTTTACTGAATGATAGCTAATATTTTTCTCTTATCTGTTTCATGGAATTCTTCTGAGAGTCCGGGGGCTACAGCAGGTATAAAAGGCTTTAAAAATGGAATCTCTCCCCGTTGTCTACAAAGCTGTAAGGTGTTATTGTGTGAGGATAACATGAGCGTGGGCATACTGAAAACCTGGACTCAGTCAGTCACCACGCCATCTTGGGTCAGAATTTTCCCTTTCTGTTATTCAGCCTTCATCAAGTCATGGTCCATAGCACCTTCCGGTGGTCCCTGAGTGACAGCATGAGGGGGCAGCTTCCGTTCATTGTCACCTGTAGCCCCCAACCAAGACTCAATCATAGGACCACAGGTGGAGCTGGAAGCGTCAGGACCTTCCACTCTAGAATGATGGCTGCTGGGAATTAGTTTTTAGTACCCAGCAGAGTGCCTGAGTCTGAAGTGGGTGGTCTGTGTGAAGAATGATGGAAAGAAGAATGACACATGAGAAGGAAGAAGGCAGAGACCACTTTAGAGAAAGTCTGGAGGTTTACTCAACAACGTTTACAATCACAATTGTACATGGTAAATCAGTCTTTCACAAAGGCTCAATTTTTCCAGGCAGGGGGAGAGGCTGGTGGTCTTGAGCTTTCGGCCTGGAATTCCAGTCTGAATTTCCAAATATTCCCTGCCTGCAACCCCTTTGGGATCCTAGTCTTCAAGCCGTTATTGGCTTGATAACATATAACAGATCAGGAGTCTGACCCTGTTCTGTTGCCTGGCACGGCTGAATCAAAGCCATTCTGGAAGCAGATGTTAAGATGAACTTGTCACTTGGTATGTAGGTCCAACTCCCACCCCAGAGGTGGCAGTGGGCCTTGGCTCAAGATCAAGTTTGAACTAAAATATTACTTGGATTTTTCACAAAGAGTGTCCGTTGAAAGCAATAAAGAATTCCAGAACAGAACTGCACTTCTTGTCCCTCTCTCACACTTACAAAGCTTCAGAAAACATTAAAAATGCATTACCTCCTAGGAATTATAAAAGATCACCCAACTGTACAAACTAGGTATCGCTGAAACAGGGAATCTGATTCCTCAGTTATTACTGTAAAGGGCTTTGCCACTCTTTTTGAGACTCCAGAGACTAGGAAAATGGAGATGCACAGAGAGACACAAGGAGCTGTTTTCTAAGACATCACCTATTTCTTACGGGAAAAAAAAGAAATTCAACTGGTGGGAAGTTTGAAAAGTGAATGTCATGTAGACTTTGGAAATCTATTTGCTACATCTTCAACAGAAACCAACCGCTCTTTCTCTCCTGGACCGACTGTCACATCCTCTCGTCAGATTCTTCCTGTGGATGTACCCCGTTCTGCCTGAGCGATTTTTTCCTAAAGGGAAGAATCAATAGTTTCTGATTGTTTTAAAAGCTGAAAGCTCCAATTGGAGGCAGAAGATGGGATGGCTTTTCACACACGTGCCTGCAAGGTTAGCCACCTCCAAAGACCTTGTTCTTAAAGCAACCGTGCTGTCTGCATTATGAAATGTTTCTGGAGTTCCCCTTTGGAAAGGCTGCTGGTGGGCCACGTGGTCATGATACTTTCCAATCACACCCTATTTTGTGACCTTATCTTCAGAGTAAAGGCTTTAGAGGAAAAGGGACCCACAGTCTCACCCATCACCTGACTGTCAGCATCTCTATACGCTCCTGGCTGAGTTCTATTGAGTATCAGCTGGGGATATGAGCGGAAACCTGAATCCTTGAGACAGGTGGTTTTCAAAAAGGAAGCCATAACAATGAGAGGCTTAGTACTGGCAATTGATCAGTTGGTCCATCAAACGGAGACAGTCAAGTTCTGTCCTTCCTTCCCCTCCCGCATACTTTGTCAAGTCCCAGGACCTACTGATGTGGACTCAGCAATGACAAATGCCAGAGTGCTCAGAGGACACACCCATCCCTTTTCAGGGTGTGAACCTAGACTGGAAAGGAGAACCAAAGGATGGAAAGGCAGGCCCAGGACGGCTTGCTGCCACTCCTGCTTTCACAGGAATCCTGGTCATGCCAGGAACACTGCCACCCATTTGGGGTGAGACTGTGTGGAAGTCTAGCTAGTGCTCGGCACCCCTTAACCCAATGGTGAAAAACAGGACAAACATGCTGGGGTTCAGAGGGTGGACCGCAGGGATGGCCCCCAAACAGGTCCCAGTGAGGTAATGCAAGGCCTCCTCTCAGGGGCCGATGAGGCCTTCTAGGTCACAGACTAAACGCACTGCCCAGCCTTTAGTTTGGAGTGTGACTTGCACTGACTGGAATAAATCTGGCCTCTCACCCTTGGGGGACATCTCAGTCTCAGATGTTGCTCCAGGCTCAACATCTCCTGCTTGAAATTAGACACTAAGAAACACACACTCATCCAGTAGGAACTGCACATGCCACCAGAAATGTTCCCCTCCCCACAACCCTGCCCCTTTATGTTTGTCTAGCAAGGCACTAGGAAATGGTTCAAGTTTAGGGATTTGCTGTATATTTGCATTTTTCTTTTTAAAAGGCACAGTTTTTATTTTAATGACACTGCATTGCTCTTTGATGATGAATCTCAATTCAACTCTTCAAACTGCCAACACTCTTGTTATCCTAGATTCTAGAGAGGCCTCATCTTTTGACTTCTATAGAGGGCCACTTCTAAAGCTACAGCACTTATTTGGAAAAGGACACTGGGATCAACACGTAAGCGCTGCAAGCAGAGGGGCCACCTCTCTTGCAGACAGGCGGCCAGAGCAGGGCTTGTGCTGGGCCAGAAGTGGAAGTAATTCCTTGCCAGCTACACATTCGGTCTGACTGGTGGATGATTGGGAGTGTCTGTCCCTCCCTCCCCCAATAATTGATGGCCTTGAGATCCGCCAGCATCTCAAAGGCAGATTTGTGGCTCTGTTCCCAGACTTAGGTCTCAGTCATTTAATTGGTAAATGACACAATCAAGAGACTCAACACTAATTGGAATGCTGATTTCAAGTATTTCCTGGGCTAGCTGGTGGAAGCCATAGATAGTGGAATGCAATTTCCATTTCCAAATCAGTGGGCAGCAGGTTGGTTACAGAAATGCTTCCTATTAGTCTGGAGGCCCTCCAGGAGTCTGACATGTAATTAACAAAGCAAAAGGTAAACATGAAGGGCCAGCATGGAGCTGGGTGTATATCTGGCTGTGGGATATCGGGTTCTTTTCTCCACAGAAATGAGACTACAGTTGTGATGATGGTGGGAGATTCCAGGGGTGCAGGTCTTCACCGAGGACCATGTTGTACCACAGCCTCTGCTGAGCTGAGGGACACATGTCCCCCTGCTTCCCCAACACTACTAACTTGGGATTTCACAGATTGTCTCTAGGCTGGGGGCTGCCTTGACTGTATTACACCCGGCTGGCTCCTTTAATCACAGCATTCTAGAAATCCATATTGGATGTGGGATACCAGAATCCTATGTAGCATCCTAGTTTGCAATCCAATTATAGAGTTCTTTAAAAATTCTGGGGTTTTATATGAGAACTAGAACCATGATGAGGTCAGAGGCAGGCACTTTGCCCACAGTTGATCCTGGAGACCTCCAGACCCTGTGAGGTGAGCACCTCGCAGCATCTCTGTTCCTCTTTTGAGGCCTGGGGAAGAGAGACGGGGAAATGGAAGCATGGATCAGGGCAAATCAGCCAGCTTTTCTAGTTTGGAGGTCTGCTCGGACTTTTCTGTGGGCTCAGGGCCATCTGAAACACTGCCCTGTAAAGCTGGTGGCTGGGCTGTCCTTGTGCCTGGAGAGTGCTAAAATGGACATTTCAAATACCCAGAGAGCAGAGGGAGATATCCCGCATGTCCACAGCTGCAGAGAAATGTCTGGGGGGTCCCTCTTCTGACTCCTCACCTGGCAGCTCATCAGCATTCAGTATTGAACACTCTTAAGACCCTAAGTATGGCCTTTGACCAGACCAAATCACCTGGGGCTGTGACAGAGAACAGAAGCTGGGCAGTCACTGCAATGTCCCCCCCAAGGACGGTAGAAACTAAAAAGCCCCAAGAGGACTTCTTTCCCTTCTGCGGCAGATGAGTGACATCGATACTAAAAGCTGCCCCAAACAGGCAAATTTTACATTTCTTTCCAAAGCACCATCATGTAGGAGAGCCATCTGAGGGCTGGGCAACCTTGCAGGACTCACTTTTGGGTGGCCTAGGCTACCTTGGTATTCTCCCACATAATGCTCAAGGGGACATAGTGACAAAGTTGAAAAGGCCCTGTTGCTTTTCTGTGAGGCCAGCAGGGATTAAAGCAGGCTCTGCTCCCTGTGGGGCCTCTTGTGGGATATGCTCTTCACCCTACCCCCACAACTCAGGGGTTCAAGGACCAGGCAGACCCCAGGCCCTGAATCAAGAGCCCTCTTCACCCTGAACCATTTGGCCAGCACCTTTTACACCCAGTGCCCACAGAGGCCCTGCCTCCCCTGAAAGAGGAAGGCTGCAGTGGGTGCCAGACCCTGGGGAGGGCCTGCCAAGGGGACACGAGGGCTCAGTTCCTATTGAATTTTTCCAAGACTGTTGAGTTGGTGTGTTCAAACAGCCACTGCTGGGTGAGGGAGGATGGGTTGCAGGTGTTCATGAAGATCCTATGGTCACTTTCACTGCAGTCCATGCAGCTGCCACTGACAGGGTGGTACAGGGTCTTGTCCTATAAAACATGGAGGTAATAAACCAGACAGCACTGGAGACATGTGACCAGTCAAACCACAGCAACAATACCAGCAATGAGAAAGTGAAGAAGTGACTGACTAGCTGTTCATACACCTGTTGGTTTTCCTCCTGAGCACACAACCAGATGCTGCCCAGCCTCCCTTGCAGCTGGTGTTGCCATGGGACTGGGTTCTGCCCGCTGGGATGTGACCAGAAATGATGCATGCTGCTTCCAGACCTGGGACCTAGACACCGCCCACGTCCTGTCAAATCTCACTGGTCCTCGTGTGTATGTGTGTGTGTGTGTGTATGTGTATGCACTTTTATCTTTTTCTTTTCTTTTTTTTTTTTTTTTTGAGACAGGTTCTCGCCCTGTCACCCAGGCTGGAGTGCAGTGGTGCAATCTTGGCTCACTGCAACCTCCACCTCCCAGATTCAAGTGATTCTCCTGCTTCAGCCTCCTGAGTAGCTGGGAGTACAGGCATGAGCCACCACGCCTGGCTGATTTTTGTATTTTTAGTAGGGACGGCGTTTCACCATGTTGGCCAGGCTAGTCTCAAACTCCTGACCTCAGGTGATCCACCCACCTCGGCCTCCCAAAGTGCTGGGATTACAGGCATGAGCCACTGTGCCCGGCCATGCTTTTCTTTTTTAAATGGAATCAGTTGCCAACATTTAAGACTTGGGGATTTCACAGTGAAGTCTAGATTTCTGACTACTCTTGAATGACTGCAAAATCCAGCACGGTAGGTTTGTGGCACAAATGAGTAAGTGGACGGACTCTGTTGAAAGAAGGGGTGAGGCACTATATGGCCTTAAAAAATATCAAGCAGGTACCCTGCTCCCCGCACATCCCGTCTTACTTTGCGGTATTTCCACAGCTGGTTGCCCTTCATGCTGTGGCAGTCGTAGAGTGTGACAGGGCTGGTGTGGGAGATGGCATCAAAGCAGAACTTCTTCGTATGCTGGGGGTCTCCAGGCCGGATGTCCTCTCTCCAGGTGAAGGTGAATACCTGTGCACACGGGTATCATAAATAAGGACAAAGGACTTTCTTTTTTTCTCCATTTTTTTCAAATTATGGAAAAATTCAAACTCAGCGGTCCAAAAAATAATATATTAACTGTGACTCCTATTCTAATCACCTAGCTTTAAAAGTTACTAACTTGGCTGGGTGTGGTGGCTCACACCTGTAATACCAGCAGTTTGGGAGGCCAAGGTGGGTGGATCACTTTGAGGCCAGGAGCTTGAGAACAACCTGGCTAATGTGGTGAAACCCCATCTCTACTAAAAATAGAAAAATTAGCTGAGTGTGGTGGTGGGCGCCTGTAATCCCATCTACTTGGGAGGGTGAGGCATGAGAATCACTTGAGCCCGGGAGGCAGAGGTTGCAGTGAGCTGAGATTTCACCACTTCACTCCAGCATGGGGGACAGAGTGAGACTCTGTCTCAAAAAAAAAAAAAAAAGTAAGTTACCAACTCAAGGCTAATGTTGTTGCAGCTCTACTTCCACCCCTATTGTTATACTCACATTATTTTGAAGCAAATCTCAGATATCATATCATGTCAGGTATAAACACTTCAGTAAGTGCCACTATAACACCGAAAAGTAGTTACTACAAAGTCCAAAATGTCATCAAATATCCACAGTTCAAGTGTTCTTGGGATTCTTTTTTTTTTTTAAGACAGAGTTTCGCTCTTGTCGCCCATGCTGGAGTGCAATAGTGCAATCTTGGCTCACTGCAAACTCCACCTCCTGGGTTCAACCAATTCTCCTGCCTCAGCTTCCCAAGTAGCTGGGATTAGAGGTGTGTGCCACTACATCTGGCTAATTTTGTATTTTTAGTAGAGAAGGGGTTTCACCATGTTGGTCAGGCTAGTCTTGAACTCCTAACCTCAGGTGATCCACCAACCTTGGCCTCCCAAAGTGCTGGGGTTATAAGCGTGAGCCACTGTGCCCGCTCAGGATTCTTACCAATTTCTTTTCACAGTTAGTCTGTTTGAGTCATGATCCATTTGGTTGATAACCTTTGTTTCTTTTTGGTAGCTTTACTGAATAATAACTGGCATACAATAAACTGCACACATTTAAAGTGTACAATTTGATACATCTTGACATACGTTTACACTGAGAAACCATTGCCATAGTCAAGGTAATGAACATACCCATCACCCCGCAAAAGTATCCGCATGCTCCTCTGTAATCTCCTCCTCCTGTCCCCACCAACCCCCATGTCCTTAGGGCAGCCACTGATCTGCTTTCTGTTTCTAGAGATTAGTTTGCAATTTCTAGAATTTTCTATAAAGGAATCATACAGTATGTATTCTCTTTTGTCTCATTTCTTTCACTCAACATAATTTTGTTGAGAATCATCTATGTCCTAACAGCATTTGTCAGTAATTCATTGCTTATTATTGCTGAATTTGCACTTCAGTTCCTTGTTATGGAACATCTTGGTGGTTTCCAGTTTTTGGCTATTAAAATAAAGCTGCTATGAACATTTGTGTTCAAGTCTTTGTATGGACATATGTTTTCTTTCTCTTGGATAAATACCTAGGAGTGGAATGACTGGTTCAATGGTCAACTTTCTAAGAAACTGCCACAGTTTCCCAAAGTGGCTGTGCCATTTACTCTCCCACCAGCAGCATACAGGTCCAGTTCATCCACATCTTTGCCAATCTTCGGTATGGTCAGTCTTTTTAATAGGTGTGTGCTGGAATTTCCTTGTAATTGCAATTTCTATTTCTCTATTAACTAATGAAATTCAGCATTTTAAATATGTTTATTTGCCACTCATATACTTTTTTTTGGTAAAGTGTCTGCCCACTTTATTATTTATTTATTTATTTTTGAGACAGAGTCTCGCTCTGTTGCCCAGGCTGGAGTGCAGTGGTGCGATCTCGGCTCACTGCAAGCTCCGCCTCTCAGGTTCATACCATTCTCCTGCCTCAGCCTCCTGAGTAGCTGGGACTACAGATGCCTGCCACCATGCCTGGCTAATTTTTTGTATTTTTAGTAGAGACGGGGTTTCACTGTGTTAGCCAGGATAGTCTTGATCTCCTGACCTTGTGATCCACCCACCTCGGCCTCCCAAAGTGCTGGGATTACAGGTGTGAGCCACCACGCCCAGCCTGCCCGCTTTAAAATTAAAAAAAAATATTGAGTTTTGAGAGTTTGAGCAGATACAAGTCTTTTCATTCATATATTCTAGATACAAGTCCTTTATCAGCTATATGCTTTACAAACATTTTCTTCCCATCTGTGGCTTGCTTTTTATTCATTTTGAATTAGTCCAGTTTATCAATTTTTTTCTTTTATGGATTGTGTTTTTGCTGTTGTATCTAAAAAATAATTGTTTAACCCAAGGTCACTCCACCCAGGCTGGAGTGCATGGCACAATCACTGTAACCTCGAACACCTGGCTTCAAGCAAGCCTCTCCTAAGCTTCCCGCACTGTTGGGATTTCAGGCATGAGCCCACTGTGTCTGAGCAGTGGCTCTTCCTGCAGGCTGGCTCACCCTCTGCATCCCACCCAGCCAGCAGGTGAGGCTGACCATGCCCCGAGGCTCCAGGAGTCAAGGTAATGAACATACCCATCACCTCCCAAAAATGATGGCTCTGTCCTCATCAATATGAGGGCTTCCTCACCTCCTGCATAATCAGCTCAGGGACACAATTCGTGGGAGCCCCGGGGCTTTTCCGGAACTCTTGGAAGGGGCATGCCTATCCACGGGGCTGCTGATGGCCACACCTGCCTCTGTATAGGAAGAGCCAGGTGAGAATGAGGCCCGCAGAGAGGGAAGCACTCTCTTGAGAGATCCAGCAACATCATCAAGGCTTTTCAGTGACATGAGACAATAAGCTCTTTTTGTGGAAGGCCATTTGGGCTGAGCATCCATCATTTGTAACCAAAATGGTCCAGACTGATGGTTTTATTGCAATGTGAAGGAGTCCCCTTTCCAGGGTGTTCAGGAGGATCTTAAAACTCATCCCCGGGGCTGACTCTTGTCACTTTTATCACTGACCCATGCCTCTCCCTCCCAGCTGGTCATGTCAGCACCCCAGGGGGCAGACGTTTCAGAGAACCTGGCTGCCAGTCCCCGAGGGGCGGCCCTTACCTGCATGTTGTTCCAGGCGGCTTCCCCGCGGCCCCGGACGCAGCCCTCTAGCCTCAGTGGGGAGCCCAAGGCCCCGTGTTTTGTGTCTGCGCACAGCCCTGTGCCCACATTTCGGATCTGAAAGGGAAAAAGGGAAGAAGTGGACCACTGAGGTGCCTCAAGGTGCCCACCGGGTCCCTGCCAGGTGAAAGGGGAAACCAAGGGGGAGACATTAGCTGGATTAAGTTCGAAATCGTCTTGATAAAGCTTGCCCTGGGCTGTTGGAAGTACCTCGAACCTCTCAATAAAGGAAGACTCAGTCCACAGAGTGTAATCCTCAAAGCACTGCTGCGTTTACAGCATGCAGAGTCCCGGGTTGGTGGTAGGGGACTGGAGGTGAGGTGTTGGTAAAGGACTCCCTGGCCCCACTCCTGGAGAAATTGAACCAACAGATCCAGGAACCAGATTTTACCCCCATTTCAGGTGATCCAGGTTCTGGTGGTCCGGGGACCATACTTTGAAAGATCCTAGAAAAGGACACGAAACCTTTGCTGTATGTCATGGACTCTCTCTGTCCCTTAGGGCAGGTGAATGGCAAGAGGTGGCAGGAGGCCCCCTCACCCCCTGCTGAGATCCAAAGAACAATGGTTGCCTCCTACCCTTCAACCATGAAGATGGGTGTGATGGCAAGAGCACTGGGCTAGGAGTCTGAAGCCCTAGGCTGCTCACTTGCTTAGCCAACAAATACCGACTGGGCACTTACTGTGGGCAGGCTGTTGTGCTAGGTGCATAGTGTCACATCATATAGTTCCTACCTTACAGATACCAATCCTACTTTGTCTGAGGGGTAGGGGGCTGTGGTGGCTATGAAAATACACCACCCAATTTCCTGTTGCAGGGCGTCTCATTGCACCCAGATCCTGTATTCTGAATCCACCACTGTGTCCACCCATGGATGGATCCCAGCCAATGAGTGAGGCAGACCCACTCTTGCGAGATGCTGAACTCCTCTGGCTGGTGATTTGGCTTGGGGACTTCATTAACCTGGCCAAAGCTTTCTTACAGCTTTACTGCAGTCTGGACTCTTCCTACCCCAGCCGTCCTTCCTTCCCTCGTGCCTTCGCAGAGGTCAGACCAGTGTCGTGGTCTTGTGGCTTTCCTAGTCTCCCCAGGCGTCTTCATTTTTCCTCTCAAGTGTTTGAACCATAAATCTCTTGCGTGTCTAATCCCACTGTGGCATCTGCTTCTTGGAGGACTTGAACTAACACGAACTGGTAAAGAGCCAAAGAGCCTCATGAGGGAGGTCCACACAGCAGTGCTCCTGGAAAGTGGTGGTGATGTTGGGGTAGGCTAGTCAGGCAGCCGAGCCAGGCAGGGCTCTGTGATTTGCCGTGTGAATGTGAGCAAATCACACCTGGTGTTCCTGCTAGCCCACCATGTCTCTCCCCTTTCCTCTGGTAACACCACCCCGACTTTCCATGGGGCTACTGCTCCTCATGCACCCTGTGGCCAGCCGTAGTGTCCATCCTACGCTTGCTGTCCCTCTTCCCCGATGGCCCCAGTGATGGGTGCAGGATCCAAGAATAAGACTTGATTCCTGCACCTTTACTGGTATACTGGGGAAGACGTGTATACTTTCTGCTGGATTGGCCAAGCAGTAGGGGTTGGTCAGCCTGAAGCTTCTGGAAGCCATTCTGATACCTTCAGTGTGAGACCAACACAAAAGGAAGCTGAGTTCAGCAGGAGAAAAAGAGACTGATATCATTTGAGGCCCTGGATCCAGGTTGTCTGAAGCCATAGCTACCCCAGGCTCTTATGTGAGTCAAACACAATATATTCCCCCCATTTTGTTTTTCACTTTAAATTGGTCTTCTGAAAGAGCCCCGACTCTTACGCTCCCCTTTTCCAAGCTCCAACCTATCCATCTATGAATGGGTAGGTCCTCTCAGCCCGGAGACCCAGGATCCCATGATGGCATGCTCATCTGCCTGTGAAGGCTGGTCTGCCTCGGCCAGCATGGGCCTCATGGGCCGCGCCATGGCCCGCGTTCACAGGGCCCCATGCTCAGGAGGGCCTGGCTTGATTTAAAGCTCTGCTGCTGCTGTCTTGAAATTCTGAATAATTTTATCTTTGAACTGTTTTGTAAGTGAAATCTGATGGAACAGTGGAGCGTGTGCATTATAGAGAAGCATGCTGTTCCTCTCTGCCCTGTCTGCATGTAGCATGTGTGAAGACACTGACCAAGTGAGGACGCTGGGGGTCCCAGAGGCCCTGCTTTCCCTTCAAACTAGAACTCGCTCTGGGTGTGCTAAGAAGGGCAGTGGCATCCTAAGAAGCAGGAATGACCAACAAGTCCTGTCATGTCCTTTCTTACTTGCGTTACTGCCCCATGTTAGCCAAGAACTTATGTAGGAAAGGGAAAGATAGGGCAACCCTAGTTCCTTTTCTTTTTTGAGGCAGGCTCTTGCTCTGTCACCAGGCTGGAGTGCAGTGGTAGGAGCACAACTCATTAGAACCTTGACCTCCTGGGCTTAAGCAGTTCTCCTGCCTCAGCCTCCCAAGTTGCTGCAACTACATGCACGTACCACCATGCCTGGCTGATTTTTTTTTTTTTGTAGAGACAGGGTCTTCCTATGATTCCCACAGGAAAATGTTGTTTTCAAACTCCCGAGCTTAAGTCATCCTCCGGCCTTGGCCTCCCAAAGTGCTAGGATTACAGGCATGAGCCACCGCACCCGGCTCCTTAGTTCCTTTGCATTCCAGCCCTTCCTTACTCATCAGTAAATGGAAGGTAGAGAGTATTGGAAGAACATGCACATTATCAAGAAGTGAAGTAAAAACAAGCTGAGTTAGTTTTGTGCCATGTTTAGACTGTTCTGGTGAGAAATACTTATGCTTGCAGCAGGTGGGAAATACAGATCATGTGATTTCACTCATTCTGAACATGAGTTACATGCTGTTAATTTGCATTTTAAATTGTCACTGCATCATATAAAGATGAAAGGTAAAATTCATGCTAATAACTTAAAGTTTTAATTTTTCTACACTGAGAACACTAACTAGCAAGTAAAAATACACCATGACAAGGCTAGAGAGAGACCAGGAAAGAAAGGAAACAGTTTTATATTCGTGTCTTTCCTCCCTGCACTTACTTTCTGCCTTTTGAACATGGGGTCTGCATTTGCATTTTACATGCCCAGCAAATTATGGAGCAAGCCCTGCCCTCCAGGCTCACCTCCCCCCAAGCTGCAGCCGGGGGCTCCACGGGTGGGTAGAATTTGGGCAGGTCCCAGGCTATCTTCGTCATAAACCACTTGAAACTTTTGCAGTTAAGGGAGCTGCGGAGCTTTTTCTGGGCGGCGACGTCCCCAGCGGAGAGGTGGCGGTATTCAGGCCGGCGCTGGTAAATGTACTCGGCGTACTCGTCCATCCACACTTCAGCCACCCGCTTAAGGTTCTGTGGGGCAAGAGGCAGTGGAGGGGTCAGTCTCTCCAAGAAGCCAAAGCCAAAGCCAGGCAGTGGGGTGAAAGGGTCCTGGCAGGTTGAGGTCAACCCTTCTTATTTTATGTTGCATCAGAAATCCCAGCCCCACCATGAGTTTAGGCCTTCCGTATTTCTATGTATCATTATGCATGTTTTAAGGGTTTCACAGCTTAGAGTTGGCCCATAGGCTGCTGTTGTTTTGCCTGCCCATCTTCCATCCCCTCTTCTTCTAGTGATAGCTCCTACTGATTTTTCCTCTGGGCAGCCACCCTGTCTCCCTGTCAGCTCACGTGGCAGGAGGAAAGGCATGGACCCAGCCTGGCTAATGTGAATACAGGCGCCCCTGGTGCAGGGGCTGGTCAAACAGCGGACCCATTCCCTGAGCCCCACCAATCACAATCAACAGGCATCAGCCTTGGGATTTTTGCAGGAACCATTGGAAGAATCGCTCTGTTTCTGCTTGGATTGCTGGGTAAGACAGGATGACAGCCAGAGCTCTTGGGCCATATGGCCTCCACGCAAGGAGAGCCTGTCCAAGGATGAAATCAACCCAGAATGAAGCAGAGCGGAGGGCTGGATCCAGGAATGCATTCCGCCTTTTAACACCAGAATCCAGCCATGTCTGAAGCTAGAGCTACCTCAGACTTTCCAGTTACAGGAGCCTGTATATTCTCTCTTCGCTAAGCCAATTTGATTTGGCTTTTTGTCATTTTTGACTAAGAGTTTTGACCAAGTTATGTGATAAAGGCAAATGATAATTTGAAACCAAAAGGTTTGGAAGTGGGAATTTCTAATAATCCTTTGAGGTGCAAAGGTTGCTGCTACTTTCATCATGAAGCATAAAGAGAATCAGTTTTAAAAAATGACAGCCACATAACTGGCAAGCAGAGGCAGCAGGTGAGGAAACTGTGAGTAGACTTGGGGACAGAGGAAGAGGGAATTCTTATGTATGTGATGAAAATTCCTGATTCCATCTGCAGTGTAGACCCCACCCAGTGAGAATTTCTGATATGTGATACATCTGAGAGCAAAACTTCAGGGTTCAGGGGAAATTCTCTGCTCCAAAACATCTTTAGTCAACCCCTGGCTGTTGTCCCCCCTCCCAATTTTAACTCTTCAGCTTTCAGTTTTTTCCCTATTGCAATGTAAAATTTCCTCTGAAAGGTAAAGGGGAGTTAGCACTTGAAGCTGTTATCAGTCATTTGCACCTCAGTGTGAAGGACTGCTCTAGGAGCAGGTCAGGAAGGGATTCCAAATGTTTAAATGTCTTCTATAAAGAGCCGAATAGTAAATACTTAGGCTGTGCAGACCATATGGTCTCACCTCTGATGTAGCTATAAAGCAGCCATAGACACCATATAAATGGTGTGGCTGGGTTCCAATAAAACTTATGGATACTGAAATTTGATTTTCATGTATCACAAAATATTCTTCTTCTTTCGATTCCCGTTCCCTCTAATGATTTAAAAATGTAAAAACCATTCTTAGCTCACAGGCCATACAAAAACAGGTTGCTGACTCTTGAGTAATGCAGAAGGAAGCCAACATGAGGGAGGCCCCCGCACTGGAGACAAAATTCACCAGCTCCCCCATTTTGCTGGCTCTGAGTTGGGGGCCAGGAAACAGCTGAATTTCCTTGTTGCTACCTAGTTCTTCCTGAGTGCTGAAGAGTCCACAGTGGGTTAGAAAACAGCTCAGGAACTGTTTATTCCCACCAGGCCCCTGCACAGAAAAGGCTGTGTTTAATTTAAAACTGTGCTAGAGGAAGTTGAAGGCCTAACAGAGATTGTATACATGAACACTCTAAAACACAGTATTTCCTCTGCTTTTTCCAGTATGCCCACCAGGCTCTTTTAGCTCACTGTCTGAGTCCCAGGGGTAATGAGGAACTGCTGTAGTTTCACTCCAACTGAAAGCACGTCCGGCCACTCTGACCATGGCCAGACTGGTTAAGAATGATACTGAAATTTACCAGTGTTATTCTTAAAGGATTGAATAACATCATATTTTAATTCTTATTATAATTACCATTTTAATTTATATTGCATAATTGTATCTTCCAAACATAGCTTGAAAAGCTCTTTCTCCCAGATTTTGAACTTTTTTTTGCTACAGTTCACTGTTTGCGCCAAAGGAAATGACTTTACACTTATTTCTCTCACATCTCCCCTTGTTAGAGACAGAAAAAGGAGCTTGGGATTTTAGTGGGCTTCGGGATCCTCATACCCCTACTCTCAACACCTTCCTGCTTCCGAGTCCCAGTCCCATCTGAGGCCCAACTGTACTTCTTGTGCTTGGATTATAGAGATTTGCCTGGATCCTTGGAGTAAGTCTCCATTTTTGTTTCACCAAGTTTGAGTAGTTTCTGTTACTGCCTTCCCTAAGATCCTTTTTCCAGAGGCAAAGATAAGACAGATTTCAGCAAGTGTAGTAAACAATGTAAGACTGGCTACTTGTCCCTGAGGCAGGCAAGCTGGTGGACTGCTCATCCTTCCTGAACTGCTTCTACCTCAAGGCTGTCTGGCTGTTTGTCCTTCCAGAGTCGTACAATCTCAGTTTCCCTATCTGGCTCTCTCACAGCTATCAGGACAACTCTCAAATCTATCAAAATGATCATCTAAGGGACAATGCTCTAGAAGGCTTAGGATGTGGCTACTAAAACATTGAGCACCTTTTTTTTTTTTTTTTTTCCCCCAAGACAGGGTCTTGCTCTGTCACTCAGGCTGGAGTGCAGTGGTGTGGTCTCGGCTCACTGCAACTTCCGCCTCCCCAGTTCAAGCCATTCTCCTGCCTCAGCCTCCCCAGTAGCTGGGATTACAGGCGCACACCACCATGCCTGGCTAATTTTCGTATTTTTAGTAGAGCTGGGGTTTTGCCATATTGACCAGGGTGGTCTTGAACTCCTGACCTCAGGTGATCCGCCTGCCTTGGCCTCCCAAACTGCTGGGATTACAGGCGTGAGCCACCACGCCGGCCCACTGAACAAATATTTTAAATGTGGTCTGCAAGTAATTGAGGGTTGTTAGTCACCATACTAAAAGGCCACGCCTGATTCAGGCATCTCCGTGGTTCTGTAAACCTACACATAATCAGACCAGATGGATCACAGAGTCCCTGGGGAAGAAGCCATGGGGCACCAATCAGATTGTTAAGTGGTTTAAAGGCAAACACAGGACGCGGCTTCAGTACAGACAGCTAAAAGAGAAATATGTTAAAATGCCTAAAGACAGAATTTAGCTAAGACTTTTAAATACAACAGTCTTTATTGTTAATGTTGATGCTAACACTAATAATAGCAGTCACTGTTTAAGGAACAATTGCTATGTGCCAGGTACCTGTCAGACCTACACGGGTTTGAATTCTGGCTCTAGTTACTTAACGTTTCCATCGCCAGCATCACATGTTTCATGTTCCCCATCCGTTAAAAACAAGTGAGAATTAAGTGAGATAAGTAAAATGTTTTGCATGCCTGGCTCGAAGGGAATTTTTATAAGCGTTACTACAGTTAGCTCTTATCCACTGAATTAATCTATAATAATGGTTCTATAACAAGCAGAAGGCGGTAGTGTCTCTTCATCAGGTGGGCCTTTTTTTAAAAAAACAGCAGCAACAACAACAGCAAACTTTCTTTGAGACATGGTCTCGCTTTGTCACCCAGGCTGGAGTGCAGTGGCACACACAGCTCACTGCAGCCTCGACCTCCCTGGCCCAAGCGGTCTTCCCACCTCAGCCTCCTGAGTACCTGGGACTACAGGCATACACCACTGCGCCCGGCTATTTTTATTTTTAGGTGAGCCTTATCAATAACAGCTGTGCAGAGGAAAATAATATTTTAGGGTTGCTCCTGGTCTGGAGTTGGAGTGTCCCTATGGTCCCTTGTAGCCAGAAGAGTCGCAGTCTTGGGCGTACCGAGAGAGAGTGCGCTCTTTTCCCACCTGGCACCCTCCTCAGGGATCGCCAAGTGGCCTTTCAGAAGAACGCGATTCCTGCTTCAAGGGGCTGAACCTAGAACCCACCCCCTGCGTCGGATGGGGCTGTGGGCAGCGCGGATGGCTGTTGAGGGCGTCGTTAGGCTCTGCTACCACTGGAGGGCACTGCCGGCTCTCCTTTCCCTCCACGCGGCCCCGACACTTTCCGGAGCTCAGCTCCCACCCAAGGATGGCGCTCGGCGAGACGCGCGGCCCCTTTGAGCCTCTCGGCTTTCCTTGTAAGTCACGGGACAACGCTCTTCTAGGACCCGGGAGCCACAATTCTACACGTCAAGGTTGTCAAGTGACGAGGGAGGAGGAGGCAGCGCCCTGGACAGGAGGCAGTGCGGTCTAATGCCCACCGGCCAGCACCGGGGTCTCCTGGCGGGGGCGGGGCTCACAGGCTCCGCGGAGGCAAAGCTGTGCGGACGGTGGGGGTTTCCTTCCAGCTTCCCCGCAAACCTCCCCGAGGCTCTTTCTGTCCTCTGGGGACCCTCCCTCCTCTTCATTTTTCTTTTGTGGTCACCTGGATTTATTTATTTTTTCCCCAATACATTTAATATCAAAAACAAAAACAAACTCTGGCTAACAGATTTCCATGTGCAGTCAGTGGCCAATTTAATTGAAGCAATGATTGATACAAACCATTTTAGGGCAGTGAAACAGTTTGACATGCAGAGGTTTTGGCAGTGAGAGTGGACAGGGGGTGAGGAGAAGAGAAAGACACTGACATTTATAAACTTCACTTCCCCTGCAGAAACTTAATACGCAAGCTTTCCCAAACACACCACACCACACCACCTGTATTAATATTTATCTGACAGGTTTCTTTACGTCACCTCTGATCTAACTTTGCACCTACTTTAGCTGTATGCTAATTAATAGTATCTGTGAAATTACAGGTTAGCTACATGAATACACATTAATTTAGAATCCATATGATCTTAAAACACATGAACAAGAAAACGTTCCTGTGTTTGCCGCCTAAGATTATCCCCTCTGTCACACTTTGGGAAACAGTATCACCTCCTTAATTCTCCTGGCAATGCTGAGAGTTGGAAATAATTAGCTCTCCTTAAACAAAGGAGGAAACACAGGTTCAGAGGAGTTAAGCAACCCTCCCCAGGTCACACAGCCAATGAATGGTTACGCAGGGATTTAAGGGAATTCTTTTAAATTGGATTTCACCTGGAGAATGGGGGCACATTCTCAAACCCAGAGATCACATAACACAGTCTAGGGCCCCAGGGTGACGCAGTGCAGCTGGTGGTCCTAGGCCAACCCCTTCTCCCCCCCAGGAAAGCCACCACCTTACCCGGGCCAGGCTGACTCCGGCCGGGACCTTGTAGGGCACATACTTCCTGTAGATATGGCCCACCCTGGAGCAGGGGATGTCCTCCATGCGGCCCCCACACATCCACACCTGCATGGCAAGAAGGGAGAGAGATTATGACGTTTCTGCTTCCAGTTCACCATCCCTCCAGGCCAGCATCCCTTAGTGCACTCAGCAAAAGCATCAGCCTGGATTGTCTACTGAAGCCTAGATCACAGACCTAATGCCGTGGGAAAACAGTAATATAATAACAGCAGTAAAAACAGCTGACAGCACTGAGTTCTTACCATTGCCACACACTATGCTAAGAGGGTCACATACACAACCACACTTAAGTCTCATCAGAATACCTATGAAGTAGGTAGTAAGATTTTACAGATGCTGAAACGGAGACTCAGAGAAGCTAAGAAATGTGTCTAAGGTCACAGAGTAAGTGGTGGAGCCAAAATGCAAACCCTGTTTTAGCTGACTTCAGAGTCTGAGCTATGGAGTGCTGTGTTGAGAATTCTAGGGTGGCACTGGGGGATCAGTGGGAAGGACCTGGTGGTCACAAAGTGACATCAGCCACAGCACAAGTAGTCAAGGTGGCACACAGGTTCCGTAGATTTACTGACACATTTATTTTCCTCTTGGATCTATAAGCTGGGTCTCCTTGAGCAGTTCCATCAGCCTCCCTGCCCTGCGTTCTCTGAGTCGGCCTTGCTAGGCTGTGCAGCTGGGTCTTGCCGCAGCGTGGGATCTGATGGTTCTCTTTAAGTCCCTCTCCCAGGGAGGAGTATCTGACATTACAGAGAGCTCCTGAGTTTGCCCACTGGGCTGACAGCAACTTGGAAATCTGAACATGTACAGCCAATACTGACTCATACCCACCGAGGGGCCCAGCCTACACAGACTCCCCTTGGCAGGCCGGGGTTTGAATCCTGACTCAGTCACTTACCCACTTTACGACTTTGATCAAGGTACTTAACTTCTCTGAGACTCGGTTTCCTGTAAAGAAATAGAGGAGGCAGGACTGGAAGATGAGCTACTGCGTGTAAAAGGGTTTAGCGCAAGACCTGGTGCATACACAGGGCACAGCAGTGATCGGTCAGCTGAGACCCCAGCCTCCGAAGTAGCCTCACAATCCCTGCCTCCTCCTATTTGTGCCCCTGTGTAGATGCCTCCCAGTGAGTCACATGAGGACTGACCTGTGTAACCCACAGGATACTGCAGAAATGATGGTCATAAAGATGCCGTGGCTTCCACCTTTCTCTGTGGGACTGCTGGCTTTGGAGGAGCCAGCTGCCATGTTTGAGGACACCCAAGCCATTCTATGGAGAGGTCCATGGGGTGAGAGCTGAGGCCTCCTGCCCACAGCACTAATTTGCCAGCCAGGTCAGTGAACCAGCAAGAAGCAGAGGTGGTGGTCACAGTCAAGCCTGCAGATGACTGCGGCCCTGGCTCATGACCTGACTATTCCCCTATGCGAGACCCAAGGTGGAGTTATCAAACCAAGCCGCTCCCAAATCCCTGGCGTAGGGAAGCACGGTCATCATAACTGTGTATTGTGTTAAGATGGATTCTCGGGGTAATTTTTCCTGGCATAGGTAACTAACATGGGAGATGGTTTCAGGTGGCGATGGCAGAGCAGGGCCATTGCATAGACTTGTTGTGGGGATGTATGGGATATGAGAGATGCTACTTTATGCTCCCCAGTCAGGGAAAGCCTCACTTCGGAGGGGATGTTTGAGGTGGAACCGAGAAGGTGAAAGTAAAGGCAAGGGAACAGGTGAGAGAAGAGCAAGTGCAAAGGCACCAGGGCAGGGCCAGGCTTGGCATAGTCAAAAAGAAAGCCAGGGCAGGAGCAGAGGGAGAAAGGGGAAGAGGGACGGGAGGGGAGGCCAGAGGGGCTCCCACAGGGGCCTCACAGGGCAGATGAAGGAGTCTCCACAGAAGGTCTTCAGTGAGGGAGATACACAATCCACTTACATCTTACAAAGATGACTCTGCCTGTGGGCTGGAGAACAGCCTGAAGGGGCAGGCCTGGGGGAGAGAAGGCCTGGGAGGCTCTTGTAGTCATCCTGATATGAGGCCATCCTGACCCTGGGCGAGGGGTGCTGAGGCGATGGGGGGACACAGCTGGATTCAGGACATTATTATTAATCTCGCTACCATATGCTCTCATTTGTAGGATGAGGGGCAGGAATGGGGACATCTGCAAACCAGATTCTGTGCAAAAGTGCTCTTTTCAGTTGGAACTGCTCGATGAGGTCGTGGGGATTGGGCTTCACGTCTTGATTGATTCAGGGACTCTAGAAGGGCTTGCTCTTCCACCTGGCTCCTAAAAGGTCCTTTGTCCCCGACTACTTCCTGCTATCTCCATCCTCAGCCCAGATGTACTCTGGCCCTCCTGAGAGGGGATATGCACAGGGCTGCAATTAGTGGAAGTGCTGCCTGGAGAAATGCAATTATATTCTGATCTTGGGGGAGAAAAAAAATCCAGCCAGTCAATAGAACAGAACATTGGTCTTGAGATAATGGGCTCCTGATGGTAGATTAATGTCAAGGCCAAGCCAAGAAGTTTATTTTCAAAGCAGGAGATATTGATCAGGCGCCAGCATCCCATAACAATAACTCTTCCTTTATACAAAGTGATTGATGTGGAAGTGATGCTTTTGTCTGGCGTGTATTGCCCAGGTCGCCGCTGGGCTGCCCTCTGTCTTTCAGGTGGTGCAGTGGCCCTGAGCAGGTGGGACACTTCACCCTGCTCTATTTCTGGACGTCTCCTGGGCAGTTGACCAGGTCAGCATCCAGCTTCCTTGTCTTCATATTAAACTCGCATTAGCTAATGAGGCCGTGTGTCCAGCTCTGCTTGGCAGAGGCACCTAACTTTATGCAGGTGGATAAGACATTTCCAAATCCTTCTCTTTACTGTGACCTCTGGTTTCTTTGGCCCCAATCATGCTGGCCATCAGCCTGAAGGTTCCTGAGGGACCAGGGTGACCCTGATATGTCAGGAGGCTTGAGGCATCCAGGATGCCCTCAGATTCCTGGGATGTCTGGAGGGTTTGGTCAGTGGGTTTACTCCGTGGCTTCCCTGCCCAGCACAGGATGGCCTGGTGGCCGACTCAGAATATGAACTACCCTCAGCAAGACAGACATCTATGAAGCTGCTTCACTCCTGGGTCCTCTGGGAGTATTCCAGCGCAGGCCACGCCCATCACTTCAGAATGTCCTCTGGCCTGACCAAGGGCCCCGTGCAGCCCTCCACCCTCACCTCATCCCACTCACTTCCTGCTCACCGCACCCACTGACTCCTCTCACAGATTCCTCCCTCTGCCTGGCTACCTCCTACTCATCCTTCAGGTCCCCTTAAGAGCCACCTCCTTAGGGGCTTCTCATCCTTTTATACCTACACACAGCACCTTGTTTCATTGCCTTTTACCAGAAGTGCAGTATTAATTATTCACAGGATTATGTCCCTGGTCTAATCTCCCTGCAACAGGCATCTGTTGTTTTTGCCTGTCCAGTGCACCTTCTCCCTGTTGGTGACTGTCCTCCCAACTGCTCCACCTGGGGCCTGTGACCCAGGATGGCCAGCCGGAGCACCCAACCTCCTGGGCTCTGAAGCTAGTGTAGGGCAGGGTAATGGGGTATATTTAATGGTTGCCATGCATGCTAGTGCTTGATGTGATGGCCACACACTTTCTCTGGGGGGAAGAGCGATGGGAAACGCACTGCAGCTGCCAGTGATCACCTCTGCACCACACAGAAAGGGAGGGCCTGTCCATGAATGCAGTGAGTGCCGAGCAGGGCAGTCCCAAGAGAGGGAAACAGACACCGGTTTGAGCACCTGGAAGCAGGCCTGTTGAAGACAGCCCCCCACCCCCTGCCCCCGCATGCCTTTTCTTGGCTATAGCTAGTTTAAGATGATGTTTTCACTTTTATATTTATTTATTTTTGAGACAGGGTCTCCCTCTGTCACACAGGCTAGAGTACAGTATCATGATCACTGCTTACTGCAGCCTTGACCTCATGGGCTTAAGTGACCCTCCTGCCTCAGCTTCCCAAGTAGCTGGGACCATAGGTGTGTGCCACCATACCTGGCTATTTTTATTTTTTGTAGACATGGAGGTCTCCCTATGTTGCCCACACTGGTCTTGAACTCCTAGGCTCAAGCAATCCCCCGACCTCGACCTCCCAAAGTGCTAGGATTACAGGCATGAGCCACTGCACCCGGCCTTCCTGTCACTTTTAACATAAGAGTCCTTACCAACCCCTCTGGGCCCCGCCAGACTCAGGGCCGGTGTTGGCAGGGGTCTCATCTGTTGTATTTGCCATTGGACCCCCAGTGCCTAGCACAGTGCTCTGCCCGTAAGAGGCACTCAGTCATGAAGGAGGAGGTGAATCAAGACTGATTCAAAATCTTGGGCATAGGGACTTGACTAGAGAGAAAGATGACCTCATTTTGTCATCCATTCTTCAGTCACCGGCTCCAGGGATGAACAGTCTCTTTTGCTTCCAGTAATCCTAGCAATAATATAAGTCGAGCAGGGAGCCCGAGGTTTCCTTGTTTCTCGGGCAGAAAGCACCATTGCCATCTCTTTAGGGCGGGATCCTGGCTGAGTTTGTCTGGGGTGAAGTGGGACAGATGTAGGAGGCCAGAGAGAGCATCACCATCGTGCTCCCGGCTTGCTCACCTCCCTCTTGTGACGAACAACTCTGAACTCTGCCACGAAGAGACAGGATCCCAAGACCGGAGGGGACTCTCCTTCCAAGGACATGCTGGGGTGAGGTGCTGGCCACAGATCCCAGGCCCTGTGGTGCTCACAGCCCAGGTCACTTGTCCTTTGTATCTTTAGGCTCCTCCCTTCCTTCACCGCGGAGGCAGTGACCATCCAAGACCGAGACAGACACTGCAGACTCTGCAGCCTGACTCCCCTCATACCAATCGTCACACCACCAATGCCCACACTGTGACTTCCTGCAGGTCACTGAACCTGGGAGCCTCACTCTCCTCATCTGTGATGTGGGGATGATGATGGCTGTTGAGATGGCACAAGACAGCATGTGAAAAGCTGTTAGCTTGGTGCCTGACTCTTAGAGAACCG